TAATTGAATTAAAATATAATATATACCTTTTTAAAATATTTTAAAGTTAGTAAAGTCAGTAATTAAATAATTTTGAGGTAATAATGAAAAAAAATTAAATTAAAAATTAAACTCTCAGTTGATGAGTCATATCCGTACGCGACGCAATGTAACTAAAGTCCAAATGCTGTTTTATTATATTTTATTATATATTAATTTATATTGTTTTATTTCTTTTATTTATTTTAGTGCTTAAAGGATATACTTTTAGTGCACTATCTTAAAACTAATACCATGTTTCCACTGCAGCTAAAATAACTCTTGTTAATCAAATTAAGTTTTAGTAGTATGAGCTTATGTGTCAGGAAGTTTTGTGATAGCTCTAAGAAAGCTTTTGTTTGTTTAAGTTTCAATTGATACCAAACTGATAATAATATAATTTTTAAAGTCGAATATGACATGTCTTATGACGAAAATAAACTCTTTTCATGTTAGAAGGGTTCGAACAGTAATAAAGAAACAACAAAAATTTTAATTAATTTATTGAAATTTGGCTGACCATACAACCAATACTGATTCAAGTATTGCCAATTATTCATCATCAGTGATCATCAGTGATTTGATATATAAACTTATTTATATATTTTAATATATCAATTATATATTTTATTTATAAAAATAAATATTTTAAAAAATTTTTAATTTTTATTTGTTTGATTGTTTTGTTGAAATTCGGTAATTTTCCTTTACGGAAATATATTTTGGAATGTTGTATTCAACATTTTCTTTTGATTTACTCTTAACTAGATTAAAAAGCATGAAAACTCTTTGAATGGTTAATCGAATTTCATTAACGACCTTATGCAAATAAACTGCTTTAAAGAAGACAATGGGAACATACTATAACTCAAAGATAAACAGCTAGGCATGTAATATAATAAAAATATTACAAAAAGCATAAAACTATTATTAATAATAACACATTATTCAAAACTTCATATATTAAATAAATACTTCAATATACATCACTCTAATACAATAGCTTCAGATATTTACATGTAAATTTATACTAAAAATTCTTAATATACCATATAGTTATAGAACTCATAATATTATTTCTTAAACAATGTATATAATTTATATGCAATATATTGTAATAAAAAAAAATCATAAAAATATACGTTGTTTATAATGACAATTAATATACAATGTATTTTTTGAAAATATCTTTATACTCATATAAATTTTGTGGTTTTAGCGATACATTTGTATCGCTAGTCGTAAAGATACTCGCATTTGTGGGATAGAAATCATAAAAATAAAAATATAATTCATTCCCTATTATATTTTAGTGCGGATAAATGTTGTGATCAAGGCTATTTTTGCGATCAATCAATGACTGCAGTTCATCGCTACTATCCGACTTTGTTTATTTACTTCAATCAATTGGAAAGGCAAGAATTTTGGTTAATTCGTATATTTCACAAAAGTCTTTCTCACTTCATAATTATCTTAAGCTAAAAACAAATATTATTTTATAAAATTCAAACAATTGTTTATTTATTTTTCCGTTTCGTTTAAGTTCATTGATTAGATCTATCAGTAGATCTATACAAATAGCATAGCTTTTACTTTGACTGTAAATAATTATTTTCATTTATGAAATTTTGAACTTTTAAAATTTATTTTTTCAACCAAAATTTAATTAATAAAATTTTATAAAAATAGAAAAATAATATTTTTTCAAAATCGATTTTGAAATTCAGTTTCCTATACAATAAAACAAAATTATCATTAATGTGGATATAATATGCAAAATCATTTAATTTAGTTAATTAAGAAAATTAAAATTTTATTTTGAAAAATCGATTTAAACATTTTTGAAATAAAGGTAAGTTTTATTTCCATAATTCTTTTGAAAATATTTATATATATAATATATATACAGATACAAAATTTTAAATCTTAAATACTATTTCCATTATCTTATTTCCTTTATAGCTTATCCTATTTAATAAAAAATAATTACAATTATTATTTTTTTATTACCAAGTTATTATTATAATATCATGAATGCGTAAATATTGTCGTTCTATTAAAATGTATAGCCAATTCATCGATACTAGTCTATTTTAAATAGCATATAAGCATATTGATGCAATGAGCAAGCCAAATTTTTTTATTGGTATTTTCATAAATAAATAATGTTAATATGTCATACATAACTTTACCAATAGTTGTCTTAATTACATTTCAAACGAAAAGCTTCACAACATTTGTTTACTTAATACAATCAAGAAATAATAAATATTATATTATAATATAATGATATATAATATATCTAAAAGTTGATATATGCGTTGTGCTTAAAACCCACCACATAAAAACACGTTTTAATGGAAACGGGAAGAAAGTCTCGGATCAGCATAACGCATGCAGTTGATGACCACAACATATGTATTGGACTTTGCGGAAGCAGCAACTCGGAAACAGTTAATGACGGCATACTTCTATAAATTTAAGTAGACAAGTAAGTAATTATGTATGTAATATTGCCAAATTACTTTTTTATTATCTATAGCTTATATTATGTATAATGACCCTCGCGCTGACTAGGTTTAATCTATTCAAATTCTTATGTAGAAATGTTAATCGGCTTTAAGTCACAGTCCAATGTGCTTAAGATTATTGTTTTTTTTTATTAGATATGATCACAATGGGCTCAATATTTCGAGCCAAAGTGAGGTTTTATTTCTGCAAGACTTGTTGTCCCTTTCACCCTATATTAGGTGTTCAATACTACTATAAAGAGCTTGAATCTATTTACAAATACATAATTGTTTTTAAAAAAAACTTTTACAAGTCGGTTCCAACTTAAAGATTTTCGAAACATCTGCAACAATGGAAAACGTCCGACACAACTTGAAACCAATTAGGTTTTAGGTAGATTATACTGAATTAGTTTTTAGACCATTAGTTTTAGTACATTTACTTAACCGCATCGAAGGCCTTCCCGACACCTCTGAATGCAGTTTTTGTTATAAGGTATGAGGTATTAAGTTATGAGGCGTTGTTTTCTAATCCGCATTGAAACCTTAGTATTATCTATATATTGAGTATAAATTGACATTGTATACCAGCCATAAACTAGTTATAGAAGGTACTAACTTCATAGAGATATAGAAAGTAGTAAAAAGAGTTATAAAAATAACTAAATTAAGTAGAGGTATTAGTTTGTAGGAACGTGTATGATTAGGGATGATAGAAACTCTAAATGACTTTGTTTGGTAGCTAAGGAGAAGTGAAATAGTGTGCGAACTGAATTTATTAGAGATATAGCGCTCTTGCTCTGGGGATTATTTTTATTGTTTAGACAGATAACACTTTTTATAAGTTTTCTGATTTTAGCGCTCTAATTTTTATGCTGTTTGATCAACACTAATAATCTAATTTTTACATAACTTCTTTATTATCGGGTTTCGACCTAACGTAGCACTACTGTTCTATCTCTGACACGTTCTATCTCTATCTCATCACTCTCGCACATTAAGGAAGGGAGTGCAGTTAGCTCAATCACTCCATCAGAGATAGAGTCCACTTCTACCTCTTCTTACTTCAAGTGTCACTTAAAACGATTTTTACGCTAGAGTATTGTCATCCTGGTTCACGACATGATCCATCTAGCATTCCCGCTATCTGATTAATAACTATAATTATAATTATATATTAATTCGCTAAATTCTATTAATGTCGTGATAAAGCTCGTACATGGTTTATTCGGATGCAGTACTCGTCGCCAATTTGCTGAGGACTACACGTTTTACGAAGAACTTTTCTCTCGAAAACTCCCAGTGCATCATGCATCATACTGTGATAGCAACTGAGCATCTGATGATCACGCACTAAACGCTGTTATCTGTTTTGGTAACTTTACTTATTGTTGTTTGATAAAAACCTTACTAATGGATGTCTTAATTATTGCAAATATTGATCAATGTGATATGTATGAATAAATAAACGAAGAGTGGTTTTGAATTAAACATGCTATAAAATTAATTTACGAGATATTAAAAAACATATCTCAAAACGTCTTAATATTTAAATGCAATTTTTTTGAACTTTAAGTTCATGAACATTATGTTGAGGTAGGAACCTGATTCACTCACTTAGAGTTCATAAATCCTTTGTAATACCATTGATAAAATAGAATCTGAACTGTTTTACATAGGGAATCATTTTCAACATGACGCTTATAAGGCACAGTATTTGCTTAATTTTAACGCTGAATCTTTTCGTATAAATTGAGAGCAAATATATATATATATATGTCAACTTAATATATAGAAAATTAAATCGTAAAAAAACCGTGACATAAATTTTTAAAAATTGCCAAATAAAGTCAACTTGATTTATTTTAAAAAAATTTTATTATGAATTTTAAGTTGTTTTCACCGTGAAGAAAATCAGTCATAATTAACATATCATTCAAAATGTAGCAAAGCACTTTGAAGAAAAATATCTGAAATTGATTACATTAATTTTTGGAAAGATTTTACATTGCTGCCAACGAAAATATTGCGAAGGCTTCCTTTCCACACTTAATCATCACAGTGTGTTTGCTTAACATTGGCATATGCATATGCATTGATCACCAGGTCAAAATCTTTCGCGACTTGAGTAGGTTTTTTAAAAAGAATCTTTTTTTATTTAAAAAAAAAATCGTTTTGTGTTCTTTTTGAAATTTAAATTTCGACAACTGCGACAAGAAAAGAATAATTTTTTTTTATGTTTTTAGGCAATGCAGAGGAGTGTGTGGGATTTTTTAAAAAACAAATTTTTTTCACTAATGTTCTTTAATAATCACATACAAAAACTGAAATAAATGAATATTTATTTATAACAGAAATGAATATATAATGTATAAAGAATATAAATTGAAATAAAAAGAATATTTAAATAATGTCTTGTATAAAAAAAAATTTTAAATTATTGCAATAGCAACAAAAAGTGCGACAGCTGCGCTGTACCAACAACGCAGTCATTTCAAAATCGGAAAAAGCGTCTCTATTACGGATCACCAGAAAAAAGCTCGAGCAGTTGAACGACGCGACTCATAAAGTGAAAATCGAATATCTGCACTTCGGAAGAGAATAGATAAATTTTCCATAGACGCATAGTGGAAATATTTAGATTTGAAAATCTGCACGGTTTTCATTTTATAAAATTCCAAAAAAATATTAATTTTTTGTTGTGAATAAAAGTGAGTGAAGTGAAAATAATTAAATAGAATTAAAAATTATTGAAATGTTTTAATTAATAAATATTATAACTATGTTAAATAAAGTATATGGCAAAATATTTATAAGCAAAAAAATTAATAACAATTATGCAAATATGAATTATATTAATTAAACGATCCATTTTGAATGAATGATCAGAATAATTGCAATAATTATATATAATTATAACAAATAATATAATTAATACAATAATTACATCAAAACTATTTTAATATCTAATATATAATAGCATTATATATGAAATATATGATCACTTCAAAATTGATTTATTTGCAAACATATTGAAAACTATAAAAAAAATAATAACATTAAAAATCAATTTAAAAATTAATTTATTGAAAAGTAATAAAATATTTATGAATACTAAAAACTGATTTAATAGTTAATATAATGAATATATTAAAATATTAAATTGCAATAGAAAATATATAAATATTAAAAATTAATTTAATAGTTATTGATATAAAGTAATAATAATATAATAATAATATAATAATGTAATAATAATATAATGACATTAAAAATGAATTTAAAAATTAATATATTGAATAGTAAAAATATATTTATTAATATCAGAAACTTATTTAATAATTATATATTAAATTTATTAAAATATTAAATTTGATTAGAAAATATATAAATATTAAAAATTAACTTAAAAGTTTATAATATAATAACCACAATAACAATTAGTGCAGTTAAATACTAAATTATAAATATAATTTAAATTAAAACTTATAACATAATTGAATATAATAGTATTTTAATTATTATAATCATATAAGTTATAAAATTTAAAAAATATAAATTAATATTTTAATTAAATATAAAATGAAAAATTTATTTATTTTCTATAACAAGAAGTAGTTTGTCACATTTGGATTTGATTTAATTTAATAATTTTTATACATAATTTTATACAATCATATGCATCACATTATCTATTCTAACTATAAAGACTACAATAATAACTTTCTTAAATATATATAAAAAATGTAAAAATAATTAGAAAATAAATATAGTATATATAAATGAAAAATAAATGTATAGCGTAAATATTAATTGAATATACATATATATGTACATATATATATATGTATAATTCAAAAGTATTATTATATATATAAATATAAAATACTTACATTATATATATTATATAATGTATATCATGTATATAATGTATAATTTATATAATATATATTATAATTGTATATATATTACATATATATAAGTATATATATTATATACTTACGTTATTTAAATTACAAATTTTATTACGAACTGTAAACCTTTAAAAATAATTACCTTACAACTTTAAAAATATATTTAATTTTTTCTTAAATATAAAAATATAAATACAAATATAAATATACAACTTTAAAACAACTGATATTGTTCATATTTCAGCTTAATTTGTTTAACAAAAAAAATCACAAAATGCAAGTTTTCGATAATAATTTGGTAAGTAAATAAGACAAAAATTAATTTACTTAAAAAACTATATCAAAGCAATACAATATAAAATAAATAATAATGTCAACACAATACTTTTATATAATTTATTTAATTTTACGACTTAATGATAGTATCAGTTATAAGAGATAAATCTTAGATATAATGTTAGCTTGCTAAAATATTATGATATTTTTTCTGTCCTATATACCTAACAGATTTGTTTCTTAATAAACATTAAGACCATGAATTAATTTGATATGTTAATATAAAATAGTTTGGGTCTCCCTTTTTATCATATTTTAAAAAAAATAACTAATTGTTCTAAGTTATTAGTCTTTTATAAATATATAAACAACGCTGAATAATTTTACTTAACTTAAAAGTAGACAGTTTTATTTGAGAATACGCTAAAGTAGTACTATGAGTAATGACGGACTATAGGATATAAAAATTCAAACATGTATAAACATAGATACAAAAAGGCACAAATATGGTTGGGTAGATCTAACACTTATTTCTGGCATTGTTCATATTAATGTGTTAAATTTTTAATCAACTTCGTACTGAAGTATCGTTCTTTCTATATAGTGACATTCCATACGTCTCATTGACATAATATCCTCAGTGTGTTTGGCAGTTTGACCCACCACAGTCATATACTTCAGAACGAGTTTTATAAATCACTTAACGAGTTAATATGGTTTATTGGCTTAATTAATTGAAATAACTAATAAAAATTTTAAGCTTCAAATCGAAGGTGATTAGTCATTTAACGAGTTATAAGATACTACAGAAAGTAGTTAATAAATCAATACTATGTCAAAACATAAACTAATTTGATCAATCTCAGAAATAACTGAAGTGACCAATAAAAATTTCAAGCTACTGAATTGATACATTAGAACCAAGTTTATAAGTCCTTTGGCGAGTTATAATACAATGTTTTTTTATATATTTTTTACCCGGCTGCAGGTCACCTTTTTTAAATTAAGCGTTAATTTAATATTTTTTAATATATTCTATATCATAAGACATTTAAAAAAGTAGTTGATAAAACACATTACGAGTTAACATGATCAGTGTTAAATGATCAGTTAACATGTTCAATATTAAACTACTGACTGCATACTTTAAAACAAAGTTGATAAATTATTTAACGAGTTACTAACTCGTTACTTCAGCACGAAATTGATAAGTTATTTAACGAGTTGATAAATCACTTAACGAGTTGATATGGTCAATAGCTTAAATAATTAAAATACCTAATTAAAAATCTTAAGTAGCTGACTCCTTACTTCACAACAAAGTTGATCAGTCATTTAATAACTTTTAAGATACATCAGAAAAAAGTTTATAAATCAATTAACGAGTTAATAATTCCAATGTAAAATGATTAATGTGCTGATTCGACTATGGACTAACCCATATGAATAACCCTATGGACTAATAACAAACTTGATTCGAGCAGATACATTTAACTACTAGCTATAAAAACATTTTATTGCTCTCGAAAATGTATTTAAATGCCATTACACTAGACATTGAATCAAAAACTATCTATAAAAATTCTATTTCTTTTAGTGTTTATAACTCGTCATTGGTTTGGCATCTGCGAATTGTATATTTACTACAAATAAAGTTTGAAAAGAATTTGCATGATGTAAATTTAAATAAAATAAAAAAAAAATTAAGAAAATTACAATTCGAATTTATATTCACAACCAAAAAAAAAAAAACAATCCCTATAAAAATTTGTTTTTGTTATTACCTTTTAGTGGGTTCATACAACCCATTTTGGAATTTATTCATAACAATTTAATTCTTGGCACCGAAATTTGGCTAGAGATTCATTTGTTGTTGCCATTACTATTGCGACTACCCATATATTGTTGTTGTAATTGTATTACACTTAGCCTAGTTTAACCTAACACAGAATTTAAAGAAACAATATTGGATCAATTCAAAAAAGTAGCGCCAACCCGCGAAAGCCGCATTTGCTTGGTAATCCCCTTTACCCCTACGCTCCCATATACGCGGTATACAATTTTAATATTAGTTGTTGTTGTTATTGCTTCTTGGCATTATTGTAAACAGAATTATTTGCATTGGATTTGTGTGGCAACGCCGCTGCTACGCCCATATGCTGCTTGGATGTTATGCACCTAAAACGTCAAGAGCGAAGCATCAAATTTGTTACACGAGGTGCTCAGCATCGCATTGTCAACAAAATTAATTGCGAAAATTCTGTGCATGGCCCGCTTCCAAGTGGGTCAGTGTACGGCCTGTGTGCAGAACTTTCGCATGGTTCAATGTGCAGCAAGCAGTTTTAATGGCCACCACTTCCTCCGTTCGTCCGTGCTTTGCCAATAAACGAATACAACATTTTCTATGCTTCTCGCCTGCTTTCCCAATATTACAGGCAAATCGATTTGTTCATTTTTGAGATTCATCAATTAATAAAATTTTTTGTTTATGTTCAGCGTTGCTTTCTAATTATTTTATGTTGTTTACGAGTATCTTTTAGAGATTAATTTGATATACTCGCCCGTTTCTTTACATTTTCGGCAATATTAATTAGTTTGATGAATTTCGAATCGATTCTGTTATATTTTTAGCATGGAAAACTAATAAATTAAGACCAGCTGTAAAATTGTTAAATGTTTTCAAATTTATTAGCCTTAAACTAATTACAAGTGATTAGTATTTTTAGTTTCTGTGAGTAATTAAATTTAATTTGAGATTTGAGAAGATTCAATAAAAAGCCAAAATATTCTATTATAGCACTTGATAACAAATTACAAATCCCTTTTTTGCACAATTAATGAAAGCCTTAAATAAATTTTAGAGGTGCCCTTACCCTTACTTTTTTCACTTTATGAAATTATATCTAAAAGAAAACAGCTTGATATATATTTATTGTTAGCATTTTGCATTCATCATTCGCCAGCTCTGCAAATAAATGAAATAATTAATTCTATAAAATGTTTTTGAGCTATTTTGATGATTTTACCAATTCAATATTCAAATAAAAATTAGTTGTGGGAGTACACTTAGCCATCAGTCTTATCTTAGTTAATTATTATTCTAATAAAATTTAAACACTAATTATATACAATACAATAAAAAGCTCTTAATTCATCAAAAGAATAAGCAATCGAAATAATCTTTAATTTATATCAAATATTTTTGTTGTTTCAAATAATGAAAGCACTTTCTTTAATATTTTCCTTTGAAACCCGCATCGTTTGTTAGTTTTCTTAAATGTTCTAACACTGAGAAAATATTTTTATAATGCAACTCAACATAAAAAGGAGTATTTATTGTGGAACTTGAAGCCCAAAGTCATAACCGATCAACCACTGTGTGTAATAAATCTGGCCTCATATAAATTACAATCCAAAAGCACCCAGATCATTATCCTCATCCAACATGTACCCTTAATTAGTAATTTATAAAATGCTCGCACTGAGGAACATTGTGATAGATCGAGTATGCTTTCGTGCCTTAATTTAAGCACAATTATTACTCTATACCAGTGATTCCCAAATGGTACAGTTGGTTAAAATTGTCCGTGTATTAAATATAGTAGGTATGGATACATAGTTTAAAGTTTTTCCACTGCGACCTCATTTATTAGAAAATAAACACATACCTATTTTATAGCCTATATAATGTACCTACGCACTTGTACAAATCATTATACATTATACCAGAGATGCTTAAAACATATTAAAATAATCATATAGTGCATTATACTTAAACTTTGTGTTCCCTATTATTAACGATAATATCATATTAGTCCTTGGTCAAAAAATGGTTGAGAACCACTGCTCTATACACAGTTAAATACCTTAAGCATATGGACCGATGCATACATTTGTATTATATGAATGTGGAACCAGCATGAGCACATCTAGAGAGACCTACATACGGTACTGGTTTCAATTTACATTTAATAAATATGAAACCATAATTTGTAATTCTGTCTTACAGTACAAAGGCTTTTTAAGGTGAACATCACAGTCGTAACTTAAGTATGACTTAATACAAGTTCCATAATTTGCTTAAATTTGATATATTATTTAATTTTATAATTATTTTAATGATAATGTTTCAGTATAAAAGTTTTTAGTCAATGTTAGTATTAATATATAATATCTATTGCAATTGTGGAGTTGTTTGATTAACTTTTTGAAGAGGACTTCTATGTTCTTACATTTTTCTTCTCCCCTTTGCTTTGATCGTCACTGTTTACCAATATAATAAATAGCACTGTTTTGGTATAATATACTATGGTTTGAAATATAAATGATTCATTCATATGGAGACATTCGAGGGCATAGGGTTCTCTGCTTGAATATAGCTCATTCACACGATTACACTTGAATTTTATTTAACACAAAGTGTTTTTCAAACATTAATGTTATTTTTATTCAGTTTTAATACATTATATAGTCAAGTCTTATTTCGACAAATCTGATATTTTTCTGGAGATACAAATAAAAGTCCTATTTTATTTTATGATTTCAACCTGACGTCTCATTGGTTTTTATCAACATCATCTGTATCTATAAGGGAAAAGGGCGTAACTATAATATGTTTTTATTTATTTAATAATAATAAATTAATAATAAATTTTATGAAAACGAATTTTTGAATTTAATAATTAGAATAATATTTACATAAACATTTGTAACACAATTTTCTTATAAATAAAACACAATATAAACAAATTAAGAATATAAACAAATATGCAATATAAACAAATAAGCATTGTAATTAATTTTCTTTTGTTGATGTTCAAAATTTTAATTTGAACTGAATTATTCTTCTTAAGGAAGGAAACATTTTATATATACAATTTTTGTTTAATAATTTGCTTTGCAAGTGCATTAAGCCGGGACTTTTTTTTAAGCTGAGAGGATGTTAAAAAATTCCTAACGCATCATCACTATGACGACACAATAGTGGTATGCTCGATTAAAAACAAACCCCTTGTGTGCTAG